ATTATTATTATTATTATAGGTCGAAGAATGTGATTTAGGACGTTCACTTAAAATACTTGATAGTATTAATGAAAATATGTAGGCAAGTAGATAGATCAATAATTATTGTCATTATGATCAATGTGTCGTTGTAATTTTTTCCAAGAAAAAACAAAACTTTTTAACATTTATTTCTTAATCGCTTTTCTTATATTTATATAGCAACATTGGGGGTTGAAGTACATCCATTAACTTTTCACACAAACTTTGGACCAATTTGTTTCAATGCATGGGATACAGCAGGTCAAGAAAAATTTGGAGGGCTTAGAGATGGTTATTACATACAAGGTCAATGTGCCATTATCATGTTTGACGTAACATCACGTATTACATACAAAAACGTTCCGAATTGGCATAGAGATTTGGTTCGTGTATGTGAAAACATCCCTATTGTTCTTTGTGGAAACAAAGTTGACATAAAGGTAAATTTTTGATGTTTGATTGTGGTGGTGATTAAAAAAAAATAATTAATATATATTGATCTTTTTCCTTGGGTGTATTTTGTAATTAATAATTATATAGGAACGTAAAGTCAAAGCTAAAACCATTACATTCCATCGCAAAAAAAATTTACAATATTATGACATATCTGCTAAAAGTAATTATAACTTTGAAAAACCATTTTTGTGGTTAGCTAGAAAACTTATCGGGTAAGAATTTACGATTCATACATACAAAATAGATTTATTTAATTTAATTAATAACATGATATTAATGAAATTATTATTATTATTTTCTAATTACCAATATTACTATAATGATTTATGACTTATTGTGAAATAGAAATCCAAATCTTGAATTTGTTGCTTCTCCAGCTCTTGCACCACCGGAAGTTGAACTTGATCAAGCTCTAGTAGAACAATATAATAAGGAATTACAAGTTGCTTCAGCTCAACCTCTTCCCGAGGAGGAAGATGACCTCTAATTCATTTATATTTATATGTTGGATTTATTTTATAGATAATCATGATCATTATTATTATTATCATTAATTATTATTTCATTAACTATGGAAAATTTCTTTGGCGTTTAGTCATAATTTTTTTTTGTTTTTTTTTTATCATTTTATTTGCTTAATACTATAAAAAACAGGAAAAGAATATTAGAATCATAACGTTATAAATAATCTCTAATAGATATATATATATATATATATATATAAAAAAAAAAATAAAAAAAAATTATTTAAAAAATTAAATTAATAATTTTTTTTGATTATCAGTGGGTAAATTTGTTTTGTTTGTTTTGGTTTTATATATTTGGGCTAAAAAATTTTTCTTTGTTTTTATTTTATTTGGATTAAATATATTAAATTATATTTAAAATATTTTATATAATATTTATTCAACAAATTTTTTTTAATAATGGCTTGTTTTTATTTTCATTTGTAAAAAATTTTTTTAAGTTTCAAAACGTATTATTATTATTTCAGGTTTCTTCTAAAACTTGATCAAAAAGAACGAATCAATCATATGGTGAATGAAATTTTATTTAGAATGATGATCAACCTCCAGCATATTTATTTATTACACATTTTGACCTGTTTCCCGATCAGGTGAAGCTAATTCCCACCGTTCTATCTCCATAAAGTCATTTTTCAATCCTAAATTGTAAACAAGGCTCGTCATATTTGATGAATTGAATAGTATTGGTGAACTTGGGGAGTTCCTGCATTTCATATTAATATTTGCATATATATTTGTCCTTTATTGGGAATGTTCCCAAACTGTAAATAATGGTTGTAACCGGTTTTTAACTATGTATTGCCATCACAAAACAGCGAATTATCATTCACGCCATGCATAATCTCAAAATCTTAATATTAAGTTACATATTGATCTAAATTTTTGTGTAATTATTATTATTAATTAATGCACAGGTAAACTTGATAAAGTTAATAGAAAGGGGTGAGTAACTGCAAAGTCACGATTTGAGAAAACAGAAAAAAAGATCGGCATTTCTATTATGGAAGAATCTCGAAATTTTATCAAGTGGATAAACTAAATTATAACTCGAAATCATAATATGATATATTTTCTAAGCTGAAATTAATCCTGTGGTGAATTTCATGTAGAAGTTGCGGTGTTAACTCAAAATCATGATTTTGGTAGTTATCCCCCCTTTCTATTGACCACTCCCTATATGTTAAAAATAAAATTATATTTACCTATTTTGGTGTTAAAAGAAATAGTAATGTTCAATCAATTATTGACCAACTAGTAGTTTACTAAGAAAGTTTAATTAGAAGTTTTTTCCTCTTGTTTTTCAAAGTCTTTCAGCCCAAATTTCTTTTCCAAGTATAATAT